TTGAACATGTTTTTAGAGGAGACTATTGAACATGTTTTTAGAGGAGACTATTGAACATGTTTTTAGATGAGACTATTGAACATGTTTTTAGAGGAGACTATTGAACATGTTTTTAGGGGAGACTATTGAACATGTTTTTAGGGGAGACTATTGAACATGTTTTTAGAGGAGACTATTGAACATGTTTTTAGAGGAGACTATTGAACATGTTTTTAGGAGAGACTATTGAACATGTTTTTAGGGAGACTATTGAACATGTTTTTAGGAGAGACTATTGAACATGTTTTTAGGGAGACTATTGAACATGTTTTTAGGAGAGACTATTGAACATGTTTTTAGAGGAGACTATTGAACATGTTTTTAGGGAGACTATTGAACATGTTTTTAGGAGAGACTATTGAACATGTTTTTAGAGGAGACTATTGAACATGTTTTTAGGAGAGACTATTGAACATGTTTTTAGAGGAGACTATTGAACATGTTTTTAGGGGAGACTATTGAACATGTTTTTAGGGAGACTATTGAACATGTTTTTAGGAGAGACTATTGAACATGTTTTTAGGAGAGACTATTGAACATGTTTTTAGGAGAGACTATTGAACATGTTTTTAGGAGAGACTATTGAACATGTTTTTAGGAGAGACTATTGAACATGTTTTTAGGGAGACATTGAACTTTTTGAGACTATTGAACATGTTTTTAGGAGAGACTATTGAACATGTTTTTAGGAGAGACTATTGAACATGTTTTTAGGAGAGACTATTGAACATGTTTTTAGGAGAGACTATTGAACATGTTTTTAGAGGAGACTATTGAACATGTTTTTAGAGGAGACTATTGAACATGTTTTTAGGAGAGACTATTGAACATGTTTTTAGGAGAGACTATTGAACATGTTTTTAGAGGAGACTATTGAACATGTTTTTAGGGGAGACTATTGAACATGTTTTTAGGGGAGACTATTGAACATGTTTTTAGGGGAGACTATTGAACATGTTTTTAGAGGAGACTATTGAACATGTTTTTAGGGAAGACTATTGAACATGTTTTTAGGGGAGACTATTGAACATGTTTTTAGGGGAGACTATTGAACATGTTTTTAGGGGAGACTATTGAACATGTTTTTAGGGGAGACTATTGAACATGTTTTTAGAAGAGACTATTGAACATGTTTTTAGAGGAGACTATTGAAAATGTTTTTAGGGGAGACTATTGAACATGTTTTTAGCTGGAGAGAAAACTTATGCAGACACGGGGATAACATGCAAACCCCTCTCAGAAAGGCCCTGAGGTGGAATCAAACCTGGACCTTCTCGCTGTGAACCTCAAGCACTAAACGTGGAGACGCTTTGCCCAAAGCCGAGGCGGTTTGTTTAACTGATGACAGCAGCAGGAAAATGGTGGAAATCTGTAAAAACTGGACTTTACAAAAACCAACTCTGTCTCCTTTAACGTGAGGACGAGAGATGAGTTTGGTCTGACTCTGGACTCTGCAGACTGAAACCGGAAACTTTCTCTGTCAAAGGTGAAGAAAGCGTGTCAGAAAAGTGTAAGAACCTGTTACATAACGGCACTTTCATTGGAAACAGCTGTTTAGGACACATTTATACTGATCTGACACTTTCGCCAATATATACTGTAAATATACTGTATATACTGTAAATATACTGTGAACATACTGTATATATACTGCAGACATACTGTAAATATACTGTATATACTGTAAATATACACTGTAAATATACACTGTAAATATACTGTAAATATACTGTAAACATATTGTATATATACTGTAAATATACACTGTAAATATACACTGTAAATATATACTGTAAATATACTGTAAATATACTGTAAACATATTGTATATACTGTAAATATACTGTATATACTGTAAATATACTGTAAATATATACTGTAAACATATTGTATATATACTGTAAACATATTGTATATACTGTAAATATATTGTATATATACTGTAAATATGCTGTATATATTAGTATTAGTAGTAACTATTTACATTAGTATTAGTAGCATAAAAATAAAGGGTCTAAAATCTTTAACTTAAACATGATGAAGAAGCAAGACTTAAAAGCAAAAACACAGACTTCAGCAGAAGAAAGAGAAAGTTGTGGTTTTTCAGAGAAAAATATTCCAAATGAAATGATTATTATTTTTATGGTCGAAAACACGACAAAATGTGCAAAAGTGCTGCACTGTCCTGTTCAGTGAATAAAATAATAAAATACTGTCTGAACACACCTTTTTTTCTGGTTTGAAATTAATATTGCACCAAAAACAACAATATTCTAAGAACCATAAAACCATCAAACACACCATGTGCAGGGAATTAGTTATGAGTGTGTTTGGTGTTTCCATGGCGATTAGAAAATGATTTAAAAGTAATATTTATGAACAAATAGAAACCAAACATGACGGAGACAGAAAAAACATTTTATTTGTTATTCTACATAAAAGAATATATTCATTTGGTTAAAAGTGATTACTGTAAAAAAGAATAATATATTATCTTAAATTTCAACAATATACAAAGAATAGAATAACTGTTAATTCACTAAAGCTGATCTAAACATTATGTCCTTCATTTCCATGTTTCACAGAGTTTCACAATAACTTATCGTCATAAATTATACTTTTCAAATATGTACAAAAGTAGAATGTTCAGTGCTTCTTAAGGAGGAGTCCCTGAGTTTGGAGAAAAGCCTCACATTTGGACAAACACACGAAGGCTGCGATTGTTGGACATGTGTGAAAATGTGAAATGATTTTATGGAAAAACGATGAGATCCTCAGGCATCTGTTTTATATTTAAAGCTGGGGTACGTAACTTTCAGACCACAACAGTGTTTAAGGTTTAACTAGAGCTCGCTCTTCTGTTCCTACACTGCAAAAAGCACATCCGGACTCTGCCTCAAAACCAGATTTTCCAACGGGACAAAGCAAAATGATATTGTTTTTCAAAATATAAAGAAAAGTCTCTTTTGGAAGAAGAAAATAATGCAGCAGGAAATCAGACTAAAAGTCTTTAAAAGTCTTTTCCCGTTGGTTCAGAACGTTCCACTCTCTCCATCCCATTATTTGTTATTTATCATTTTTGGCCTAAACACTTTCATAAAAGTTCAGTGTTTTCTGTTGTTTCAGAAAAATAAACGGAACAAACACATGGAACATGACCAATGTGTCTGTTTGAAATACTGATTTATGTGTTTTAAGACAGACATCTCTTTCATTTTTTGTAGTTTGTGGACTTTGAGCAATGTCATATTTATAATAAAATATAATAACAACATATATTTAGATTATAATATATAGTATAGTAGATATAAATACCACTGTTCCAACGATTTAAATCTGTCACATGCTTCTTATTATATTTATTATCTAGAAAACCCAAATAGAATCAATATAAATCAGAGTTTCAGGAAAGTTAACCTCAACCACAGACCTGGAGTCGCTCTTGGCTCCGTCCATGCTGACATCAGGAGCATCCCGGCTGTAACGACTCTGAACCTGTTTCTGTTAAAGCCGCTCTGACGTCTCCAACAGACACTGAGCACAAACTGAAGAATTTAAACACTTTCCTACATTTTTAAACATTTTTAAACATTTTTAAACCTATATTTTCTTGTGTTTAGTTTGAGTGGTTTTGTCGCTCACAAAGTCTCCAGATTAAAGGGCGTCTCTGTTTCTGTGGAACATCTCCATAACAAGGTAAATACAACAGTAGTTTTTAAGGCCTGGTGTGATTTCTCTTGTTCTGTTCAGCTCTTTGAGTATGAACTGTGCCAAACCAATAAACTTTGCTGAACGCTCGACGGACTCATGAGAAGAACGGAGGCGTTTGAAGAATCCACGAAACACAAATTATCAGGATCAACACACGTCTTTTCAAGATCACCCAAAAGATCTACCTTTTTAGTTCAAAATCCTCCTCTCTCTCTCTCTCTGTCTCTCTCTCTCTCTCTCTCTCTGTCTCTCTGTCTCTCTCTCTCCTCTCTCTCGTTCTCTCTCCTCCCTCCCTCTCTCTCTCTCCTCTCTCCTCCCTCTCTCTCTCTCTCTCCTCTCTCTCTCTTTCTCTCCCTCTCTCTCTCTGTCTCTCTCTCTCCTCTCTCTCGTTCTCTCTCCTCCCTCCCTCTCTCTCTCTCTCCTCTCTCTCTCCCCTCTCCCTCTCCCTCTCTCCTCTCTCCTCCCTCTCTCTCTCTCTCTCCTCTCTCTCTCTCTCTCTCTCTCTCTCTCCCTCTCTCTCGCTCTCTCTCTCTCTCTCCCTCTCTCTCTCTGTCTCTCTCTCTCTCCTCTCTCTCGTTCTCTCTCCTCCCTCCCTCTCTCTCTCTCTCTCCTCTCTCCTCCCTCCCTCTCTCTCTCTCTCCTCTCTCCTCCTCTCTCTCTCTCTCTCCTCTCTCTCTCCCTCTCCCCTCTCTCCCTCTCCCTCTCCTCTCTCTCTCTCTCCTCTCTCTCTCTCTCCTCTCTCCTCCCTCCTCTCTCTCTCTCTCTCTCTCTCTCTCTCTCCTCTCTCTCTCGCTCCCTCTCTCTCTCTCTCCTCTCTCCTCTCTCTCGCTCCCTCTCTCTCTCTCTCCCTCTCTCTCTCTGTCTCTCTCTCTCCTCTCTCTCGTTCTCTCTCCTCCCTCCCTCTCTCTCTCTCTCTCCTCTCTCCTCCCTCCCTCCTCTCTCTCTCTCCTCTCTCCTCCCCTCTCTCTCTCTCTCTCTCTCTCTCCCCTCTCCCCTCTCCCTCTCCCTCTCTCTCTCTCCTCTCTCTCTCTCTCTCTCTCCTCTCCTCCCTCCCTCTCTCTCTTTCTCTCTCTCTCTCTCCTCTCTCTCTCGCTCCTCTCTCTCTCTCTCTCCTCTCTCCTCTCTCTCGCTCCCTCTCTCTCTCTCTCTCTCTCTCCTCTCTCCTCCCTCTCCCTCTCTCTCTCCTCCCTCCCTCTCTCTCTCTCTCCCCTCTCTCCCTCCCCCCTCCCCTCTCCCCCTCCCCCCCTCCCTCATCTGCAGCCACAGGACTCCACCACCATGTCCTCATACTGCTTGTAGACCACGTTGTTCCCAGAGTCGATGTAGAGGATGCTGATGGGGCTCAGCCTGTAGGGGGCGCAGCAGCTCGGGGGCATGTGGCTGGGGTTCATGGAGTTCATCAGAGTCTGTATGATCGCGTGATTGGTCGGCTCCAGGTGCGATCTGAGCGGGAAGTCGCACACGCCCTCGCAGTGGTACGCCTCGTAGTCCAGCGGCGCGATGATCCAGTCGTCCCAGCCCAGGTCCCGGAAGTTCACGTGCAGCGGCTTCTTGCTGCAGCGCGATTTGGACTTCTTCCCGTGGCGCTTCCCGTGGCGAGTCTTGGAGCTCGCCGTGCGCCGCTTCCTGCTCAGTTTGGCGTTCCGTTCTTTGGCTTTCCGGATCATTCCCATCAAAGCTCGACCCTCTTTGCGCTCGCTGAATAAAGTCTGCCTCTTTCTCGAGCGCGTAAAAACCACCAAAATGGCTTTCTTCTGCTGCGGTTTTCCCTGACGGTGCAATCCCAAAACGTTCAAATCTACTTCCTTTTCGGAGTTATCCAAAATGGCCGCCAGCTCCAAGCAGAAAACTTTGCCAGGACTTGAACTCTGCCAGTCACGAAAGACTTCCCAAACATCTAGGACCTCCCATTTTGGCCGATGTCCCGACTCTTGCAGGTCCAAAGTCTTGGAGTAAACAATCTGCTGGTCGAGACAAGAATATAACTGGATTTCCACCGGATCTGAATCAGAAATTCGAGAATTTCCGCTGGTTTTGGTGACAATCCGCAGTTCAGCTCCCAGCACCTCGGCCTTGTTGGGGACGGTGGACACGTCAAAAATATAGCGCTGTCTTCGGAGGGGGGAGAGCGGGAGGTCGTCTGTGGAACAGATTAAAAATATTCACACAAAAAGTTAGAATGGATTCTCGAGGGAAAGAGAAAAGCAGATCCAAGGATGAGGCAGTGTCCGGGAAACACCGTTTACCGTCTGTGAAGAAGAACTGTCCAAATCAATTTGCAAATAATGTGGAACTAAGACTGGATGAATGTTCGGCGTCTGTGCTTCATCAGATTAACAAAAGGAAAATCCATGTCATCGATCATGTGAGAACAGCAATAATAAAAACACATTTGTTTTCAGACGTTCAGGTCGGTCTGAGACGCAGAGCTATTAATACACTGTGTGTGTGTGTGTGTCTCTGTGTGTGTCTGTGTATGTGTGTGTCTGTGTGTGTGTCTGTGTGTGTGTGTGTCTGTGTGTGTGTGTGTCTGTGTGTGTGTGTGTGTGTGTGTGTGTGTCTGTGTGTGTGTCTGTGTGTGTGTGTGTCTGTGTGTGTGTGTGTGTCTGTGTGTGTGCGTGTGTGTGTGTCTGTGTGTGTGTGTGTGTGTGTCTGTGTGTGTGTGTGTCTGTGTGTGTGTCTGTGTATGTGTGTCTCTGTGTGTGTCTGTGTGTGTCTGTGTGTCTCTGTGTGTGTCTGTGTGTGTGTGTGTGTGTGTGTGTGTCTGTGTGTGTGTGTGTGTCTGTGTGTGTCTGTGTGTGTGTGTGTGTGTGTGTGTGTCTGTGTGTGTGTGTGTGTGTGTGTGTCTCTGTGTGTGTCTGTGTATGTGTGTGTCTGTGTGTGTGTGTGTGTGTGTGTGTGTGTGTGTGTGTGTGTCTGTGTGTGTGTGTGTCTGTGTGTGTGTCTGTGTGTGTGTGTGTCTGTGTGTGTCTGTGTGTGTCTGTGTGTGTCTGTGTGTGTGTGTGTGTCTGTGTGTGTGCGTGTGTGTGTGTCTGTGTGTGTGTGTGTGTGTGTCTGTGTGTGTGTGTGTGTGTGTGTGTGTGTGTGTGTCTGTGTGTGTGTGTTGTGTGTGTGTGTGTCTGTGTGTGTGTCTGTGTGTGTGTGTGTGTGTGTGTTTGTGTGTGTGTGTGTGTGTCTGTGTCTGTGTGTGTCTGTGTGTGTGTCTGTGTGTGTGTGTGTGTGTCTGTGTGTGTGTGTGTGTCTGTGTGTGTGCGTGTGTGTGTGTCTGTGTGTGTGTGTGTCTGTGTGTGTGTGTGTGTGTGTGTGTGTGTGTGTGTGTGTGTGTATGTGTGTCGTGTCTGTGTGTGTGTCTGTGTGTGTGTGTGTCTGTGTGTGTGTGTGTGTGTCTGTGTGTGTGTGTGTGTGTCTGTGTGTGTGCGTGTGTGTGTGTCTGTGTGTGTGTGTGTGTGTGTGTGTGTGTGTGTGTCTGTGTCTGTGTCTGTACCATGTGTGTCGTTCTCCACATAGTGCTCTGGATAACTAGGGCTGCTAGAACCACGACCAATGTGTTCAACACTTTCCAAATTCCTTTAATATCATTCTTTTTAATGAATAAATCAGTATAATATTCTTACCTACTTGCCCTCTATATGCTGCTTAATTTGTTTTTGTATACACACAATATAATACAATACAATTTATTCTTGTATAGCCCTAGGTCACAACAGAAGTCATCTCAGAGACTTAACAAAACCATTGAAATCACCAACACAGGTCAGAGAATCAACAGTTAAAACACATGAAGAATATAAAGCACACACAGAAGAAAATGTCCATACATGTTGTAGAATGCTAAAGTGTCCTGATCATCACCAATCCTTTCTGTTGGACACTAACTGTCCAACAAGACCCTCCTGCATCCACAAGGAACAACTCTTAAAAAACCCAGTGGGAAAAAGTGAGAAACCTTGGGGAGAACTAGGGAAACCCACAGGGAGGGAGACCCATATGAGAAAGGGATCCGCTCCTCCGGACGGACAGGCTAATGATCCAGGACCTAAGCTAGCTACAGGACGTGGACCAGTGGACGCTGAACGTGGACAGGTCCGGTGCAGGACTGAAGCACTCCCAGGCGGGTCGGGCGGGGTATAGTTTATACCTTTGCTCAGTCTCTATAGTTCTGTGTCTAAGGAAAGTTTGTACAGATCATTTTTCGACATCCAGGGAGTTTGTGTAGTGACTTGTCGTGCACTTTCTGATTGGACAGTATTTGTCGTACAGTTTTTAGCACATCGGACATTTGGTAAATGGATTCACTCTTCATCAATGTTTAGATCTGTTATTGTTGTGATATGATTCTACGACAGCTGTCACGTTTAACATGGTCAGGTATTTTACAGTCGATGTCATAAACCATGAAGACTGGTGACCAGCAAACCACCAGGAACTCTGGTGTCTAAAATGTTAAAGATGTGATCAATGATGGTAGCAGTGTGTTGTGACTCTAGAGGTACAAGCTCATGGAAAACATGCTGTCCATGAATTCATCTGTATGTTTATGTTTCAGGGGATTTCATAGATTAATATTAAACTGCATATTATATATTGTTTGTTTTTATTTCGAAATATTTTCTCCATCCATTCCCTGAAAGCCTTCAGGTCAGATCCTGTGTCCTGTAAACACAACTTACAATAACCTTTTTCTTTGGCAGAGCCAATCCAATAGTGATGCATTCAAACAGTCGGTTTGAAACCTAAAGACATTCTACGATGTTAAAAGTAATATTTGTATCTTTATATAAAGCCACTCTTATGTTGTCGGTTTGTGCAGAACATGCCTTTGTCCACGTCCATGTCTCTGAAACTGCTCTAACGTTAAACAGTGATTTAAACTGATTCAAACAGTCTGGGATCCCGTCACAGTTAGAATATAAACTTCTGTTAAAATGCACTAAAGAGATGTTTTTAATCTTGTGTGAAGTTGTTTTCCAATGTACCATCAGTAGAATATAAACAGTCATTGTTCAGATTATGAAGGAATGACTGGGTCAAGTTCAATCATGTTTTGTGATTTATATTTTATACAGTCTGATAGAACACGGAGGGATTGTACGACCTCCAGAATTCTGCTTCTATCGAGCACATGCGATCAGTCTCTCCTGCCTCCTTCTCAGTCAGAGCGCGACTGTCATTTTCAAAATGCGGAAGAGGGCCGCTCCACCCGCAGCGCGAGCACTGGGCCAATGAGGTGAGGCTATGACGGGACAGGGCGTATATACATGGCTGGAGCGCACAGTGTACATAAAAGGGGCAGAAACAAAACTTCATAGGGGCAACCCTGGGGTTGTCACAACATGATCATAGTTTCTAAATTATGTGAGTTAAAGCTCAAATCAAGGAGGAGGAGGAGCAGGAGGAGGAGGAGGAGGAGGAGGAGCAGGAGGAGGAGGAGCAGGAGGAGGAGGAGCAGGAGGAGAAGCAAGAGGAGGAGCAGGAGGAGCAGGAGGAACAGGAGGAGAAGGAGGAGGAGGAACAGGAGCAGGAGGAGGATGAGGAACAGGAGCAGGAGGAGGATGAGGAGAAGGAACAGGAGGAGAAGCAGGAGGAGGAGGAGGAACAGGAGGAGGAGGAGCAGGAGGAGGAGGAGGAGCAAGAGGAGGAGCAGGAGGAGGAGGAGCAGAAGGAGGAGGAGGAGCAGGAGGAGGAGCAGGAGCAGGAGGAGCAAGAGGAGGAGGAGGAGCAGGAGGAGGAGCAGGAGGAGGAGGAGCAGGAGCAAGAGGAGGAGCAGGAGGAGGAGCAAGAGGAGGAGGAGGAGGAGGAGCAGGCGGAGGAGCAGGAGGAGGAGGAGGAACAGGAGGAGGTGAAGCCGTCAGCGAGAGGTGGAGTCAGACCTCGTTATATAAAACATCAAATATTAATTCACACGTTTGGTCCAAAAGCATTTCTCCATCTTCAGATGAAACCAGTGACTCAGATTAAAGATGAAACCAGTGACTCAGATTAAAGATGAAACCAGTGACTCAGATTAAAGATGAAACCAGTGACTCAGATTAAAGATGAAACCAGTGACTCAGATTAAAGATGAAACCAGTGACTCAGATTAACCATGAGTTTGTTTGAGATTAAAGAATCCAAACCTGGAGAAGGTGAAAGTATCCAGGAGTGAGACGTCCGAGTCTGAGCATCATCTCTGCAGCTCTGACTCCACCTACAGCAACAACACAACAAACACAAAATACATACATTTGTAGCTTTTGAATCATGCAGATAATAACAGATAATAACAGATAATAACAGATAATAACAGATAATAACAGATAATAACAGATAATAACATATAATCACATACAGTAGGTCCCATTTCGTTTTGTCGCCTTTCACGCGTGAATAGCACGAGACTCACGTGTGAAACACGCGTCTTATTTTTTTCCCCCAGTGATGCTGCAATGACCCAAACAACCACCAGGTGGTACTTGTGAGCAGGGTTAGGAACATTGGCTTCTCACCGCTCATTCTTCTCTCTTCACCGGACAACTTTCTGTGGCTTTATAGCTCAATGATAAGGAGCTAGACTCTAGTGCGAGAGGACCCGGGTTCAAGTACAGGCTTTGACACTTTTGATTTTGTTGACGTTTACATTTTTTCTAAAACATACTTAGTAATTAGGCCAACACATTTAAAATAGTTGCTAGACTGTAGTAAACTTGTAAAACGCGCTGGTGTCACACATGGCTGGGGGCATTAACGCACGGGTTGCCACTATTCATTCTATAAAAAGAGGAGGGGGAAGCCACAGACGCTTCTCCCCTCGCTCCTCTGATCAGAATGAGAGGAAAACTCCTGTTGAAAATCAAAGTCACCTGATGCGCACAGGCTCTTCTGTCTTTAGGACAGATAGAAATTGCTCCTCAAAAGGCGCTCTTAGACGCTGCTGTTGTAGCGAGGGCTGACGCAGCCTCAGGCCGCTCCCGATCTCGGCAGAGTTTTTGAAGTCTACAGTAACTCTACCGAATACAATTACTCAAAATGAGTATTCTAACTATTTGAAAGTTATACTAGTTATACCACTTACTTTGAAATAGCATTCAGTAGCAACACTTTTAAACATAAAACACATTCTCACGATATTGCTAATACAAATTTATGATGGGGGGAAAACTTTCTTTCTCAAAAAGGTTATGTAAGTATTGTTAATGTATCCATGGAAATTGAATTTGGTTTATCTACACATGTTTTGTGTCGGTAATGGATATGTATAGATACCAATCATAACTGTACGTACAGAGCCACGCACATTAAGCGTCTCTCTAGAACGCTGCCAAACCCCGAGGAGGCGATTGGACAGTTCAGAGTTGTAATTTTTTAATTACCTAAGTGTGGGCATAAAGCTGTGTGTGTGTTTTAATAAAGCTTTCTTTACATACATATTCCTGGAAAATTTTCATTTCCTCTATAAATTCATTCATGTCATTGATGGCCTAATAATAGTGTAGTAGCCTACATAGGATAAAATATATGCAGCATAATATGAATTAATACATATTTATATAAATATTGCATTAATTATGAGGCAGGGTGACCAATAGTGACAGATCTGCCAGCCAATCACGAGAGATTATACTTATTTGAAAGTAGTGATTTCATCCAATGGGGAGTAAGCTTCATCCAATGGGGAGTAAGCTACTAATGGGGGAGTAATCCCACGTGGGCTGGCCACGTGTGATTTTTCAGCCAATCACGAGTTTGAAAGTAGTGGTATCCGCCAATGCTGAATAGTGTTCTGAAGCAGCCTGGCCAGCCGCTGCATTCATAGCAAAGTAGGGACATTAGCATGGTACGGATGCGGCAGTTTGGAGGGCACCCCTTGTGCGCTTGCTTTACCCAAACGTCCAGTAGATCGAACCAGCCTCAATCATACGAACATTAAAAGGAACCTCATGTCCTTCGTATTATCTCCGCTTTAACAAAAGCTTAAGGCAGGTGAACAGAAAATGTTCTGTCATTTTATGTTTCCATATAAAAAGTAAGACATGTTGTTCATAAAAATGGCCGAAATTGCCTAAATTTTGGGCAACGGAATAAAAATAATGGATTGCGCCAGATTAAAATGTATGGTTTCATTTTATTGACATATTAGTAACTAAGATTTTAGCAGATGGGATTCTGGATATATTGTTTAGTTTTTCAATTGACTAATGATAATGAACAAATCTGTACAAACCCCAATTCCGCCTGTTTTTTTGGGTTCAAAGCTGAATAAATCAGGCTAGGCTATTAAAAAATCCCTCTGAAAAAACTGAGATTTCATAACACTTTGAAGCAACTTTTGTTAAAGTTAAACTCATCATTCTATCAATGTGCAGAAGCCTGTACTTTTCCCTTGTTGTGTCTATCTGAAGGCCAAGCTACATGGCACTGTGGCAGCTGCTGATTGGAGGTCTCCATGCCAACGCTCTGTATAATACACTTGCATTCTGTTGTATCTGTGTTTGTGTTGTTCGTGCTGTCTCTACCATCGACAATAAAACATGTCTTCTGTCTGAATTAAAGACGCGATCCCAGACTTTGTCATCTTCTTCAAAACCTTATAAATATTGTTACGTCCAAGACTGGAAAGTTTGGAGTCTGTATGAGCGACTACAGTACAAGGCACTGCATGAAAAGTTAGATTGTCGTCACCCTAAACGGCAGGAAATCACGCTCTTTTTCGGGTATCTCAGGCAGTTTTCAAAACGCGCAAAGCTGCGTAGGAACTGAACTGTATTGAACTAGATTGACCAGGGCTCGAGTCCACAGGAATGTAGAAAATCCAGTTTAAGCAATAAACAATAGATTATAGACCACCTGATATCCCCACAGGCCAAGGGACGTCCATGTTAGCCTACTATTAGCCTACTATTGTTAGGATTTCACTTTGGAGAGACCCAAGAGGGAAAATGCAGTTAGAAGTTTGTTGATTGAGTATGTTTGGCGCCCTAGGCCCGGGAGAGATGCTGTTGAGTGCGGCGCTTGCTCGCGTGCATAATCCCCAAAAACGGGCAGAGTTATCTTTGCGCGCCGGGACGTGAGCGCTCGCTTCACGATCAACCGGATGCTGTCTGGGACGTGAGCGCTCGCATCACGATCGATACCAGACGCTGTAGCAGAGTTATCTTTGAGCGCCGGCACGTGAGCGCTCGCATCACGATCGATACCAGACGCTGTAGCAGAGTTATCTTTGCGCGCCGGGACGTGAGCGCTCGCTTCACGATCAACCGGACGCTGCCTGGGACGTGAGCGCTCGCATCACGATCGATACCAGACGCTGTAGCAGAGTTGTCTTTAAGCGCCGGGACGTGAGCTCGCATCACGATCAACCGGACGCTGTCTGGGACGTGAGCGCTCGCATCACGATCGATACCAGACGCTGCAGTGGAGTTATCTTTAAGCGCCGGGACGTGAGCGCTCGCATCACGATCAACCGGACGCTGCAGCAGAGTTATCTTTGAAGAAGTGCGTGCCGCCACCAGAATCTTATTGGTTCACTTACTTTGCTTTGTATTGTATTGCTTTGCTGGGAGCTTACGAGGAAGCCAGTAGGCGTTGTGCAGCCAGGATGGCGGACGCGTCTGGCCTGATGTAGGCGGAGAAGGCCGAAGAGGACCAGCGCCCCAGCTGTTGCAGAGAGGTGTGGGGGAGCCCCAGCGAGGCCGCGCGCGTGGCAGCGCCTATCCTGAAGGAGTGGGCTGTGTAGAGCTGGGGAGACAAATTACAGAGGAGCAGTAGGGATCTTAGTTGAGCTCTGAACCAGGTTGCTGTCATGGGAAGAATGTCTGGAGTGAGAAATAGAGGTCCGTTAAGATCTCCTTTTTGCAGCGGAGGAGAGTGTAACGCATAAAGGATTTGTAGGGGCAGAGAGATGTGTCCGAGCGAGCTGTTACTATATTGCAGGCTCCTTTGATTTTTGAATGTTTGAGACGGAGGTTGAAATGGTCAGGGGACATTATGTTGGGTGGAAAAAGAGCGACCTTTGTGTAATGCTTCCACTACGTTGAGATTATCACACGTGACAGAGATCCTCTTTCTCTGCCACGCGTGATTCCACAGCGCGCAGCCACGACCACTGGGAATGTCTCGTGTAGGGCAGTGGAAATGCTCCGGGGAAAGTAGCGGGCCACGGCCGGCAACCCAATGGTCCTGGAAGAATCCCCCAAAACCCACGGAAGGGGCAGTGTCCGTGTAGAAGCGGAGACCTGTAGGGGCAGAGACATATCGGAGAGGGCCATTGATGTTGCAGGCGCCCTTACGCTTAGAATCTTGGGTTGGAGAGTAGATAATCAGGATAGTAGGATGGTCGGGAAAGCCGTGTCTCGGACCGCATGAAGGTTGAGTGAGCAGTAGTGAAACGCTTATGCAGAGAAGCCATAGAAGGAGAGCAGGAAGATGCTGCGAGGAGGGCAGACATGTACTTGGAAGATGAGCCGGAGTTCAGCGCCGCTGCAGGATGGGCAGCATGATGGGGAGCCTGCGATCAGAAGAGTGAAGAATACAGGTATGGATGCCTTTGATTAGGAGTTTGATTGACGGCTCAGCGCAGCTACTCGGCCAGCTGCATCTGATAGAATCAGAAGATCAAGTAGAGAGATGAAGCATGACCGCCGAAGCGACCCTGGGAGCATAGGTGCGAGTCCAGCGCAGCACGGCATACTAGCCGGGCTGCATCCATTAGAAGCAGGATAAGCTTCTGAGAGAGTGGGTTGCAGCAGCAGCAGTAGCAGCAGCAGCAGTAACCTCAGATAATAACCGCAATAGTCCTGTATCAAGCTGCGGCAGCAGCAGTAGCAGCAGCAGCAGCGGCAGCAGCAGCGTCCTTAGAAATAACAGTAATAATCCTGTATCAAGGCCACAGCAGTAGAATGTTGTTGTAGCTGTTCAGGGTTTCAGTAAAAGAGATGCAAGTGAAGAGAGATGGCAAGGTAAATGAAGCAGCAGCAGCAGTAGTAGCAGCAGTAGCCGTATGAAGCAGCAGCAGTAGCAGGAGCAGTATGAAGCAGCAGCAGTAGCAGTATGAAGCAGCAGCAGCAGTAGCAGCAGCAGCAGTAGCAGGAGCAGTATGAAGCAGCAGCAGCAGTAGTAGCAGCAGTAGCCGTATGAAGCAGCAGCAGTAGCAGGAGCAGTATGAAGCAGCAGTAGCAGCAGCAGCAGCAGATGCAGCATCCGTAGATAATAACAGCAATAATCCTGTATCAAAGCCACAGCAGTAGAATATTGTTGTAGCTGTTTAGTGTTTCAGTAAAAGAGATGCGAAGTGAAGAGAGATGTCAAAGTAAAAGAAGCAGCAGCAGCACGGCAGCAGTAGCAGCAGTAGCAGCAGTAGCGGTAGCAGTATGACGCAGCAGAAGCAGCATTAGCAGGAGCAGTAGCACCACAATGCGATTCATACGAACAACAGACGTGTCACGCCAGCGTGCGCCGCTTGTCTCCGTGAGCCAGGTTACATACGTGTCTGAAAGAGCCGAGCCGTAGAGACAGGTGCAGCCTGGGAGCCTGCGGAGCGGCAGCGGCAGGAACAGCAGCAGCGGCATATGTAGTAGTAGGAGCAGCAGGAGCAGGCAGCAGGGACAGGCAGCAGCAGGAGCGGCAGCAGGAACAGGCAGCAGCGGGAACAGGCAGCAGCAGGAGCAGGCAGCAGGAACAGGCAGCAGCGGGAACAGGCAGCAGCGGGATCAGGCATCAGTAGGAACGGCAGCAGGGACCGCAGCAGCGGCGGTCAGAGAACCATGCCCACGGTTGTTTAAGAACCTGAGGAAATAAATCAACCCGAATCCGAAACATTCCCATGCGAATAACAGATGTCCCCTGGAGCCATCTTGCTGCTTTGGTTATGGCAGATACGCATGAACCATCACTTTTCCACGCGTTCATTAGCTCCAACTCCACTTCAAACCCATTGCAGATTCACATTGGGCCCCTTTTCTTTCTGCTGCACTTTCAAAATGCAACAACTGCAG